GGAAGGCCCCTGAGGAGGTAGTTGGAAATGGGGTCTGGCAGCCCAGGTAGGAAGGATGAGAGATGTTCTGCTATCTTACCTCTTTTGAAGAGGTATGTTCTTCAGTTATATTTTAGGAAACCCAAATCCAGTTTGTTTAGCATAAATTTCTAATTGGAATTGTGTTATAACTATTTGTTCCCCTCATTTTAGATATTAGATAGTTGAGAGTTATTTTAAAAAATCTTAAAAGTGGTTTCCCTAATGACTTAAAAAAATTGAATCATTATGTTGTACGCCTGAAACTAATATAATGCTGTATGTCAATTATACCTCAATTAAAAATTTTTTTAATTAAAAAAAGAAAGGAGGGCTTCCCTGGTGGCGCAGTGGTTGAGAGTCCGCCTGCCGATGCAGGGGATGCGGGTTCGTGCCCCGGTCTGGGAGGATCCCACATGCCGTGGAGCAGCTGGTTCCGTGAGCCATGGCCGCTGAGCCTGCGCATCCGGAGCCTGTGCTCCGCAACGGGAGAGGCTGCAACAGTGAGAGGCCCGCGTACCACAAAACAAACAAACAAACAAACAAACAAAAAAAGAAAGGAAAAGAAAAACATCTTTTCACTTGGGAAGTGGGAAGAAGTGTTATTGACATGTATCAACATTCTTTCTTTGATGTCATTCGACTAGAAAAAGAAGTATTTTCTGTGTTAAAATTAACTTAATCAAATCTAGTTTTTAGCATTGTGATTATATTTATCTGCATTGTACATGTCTGAATATAAAATAAGGTTATTTCCCCAAAATTATTCCTCAGTCCCTACATACTTGAGTTCTTAAACAGTCTTTTATATTGTCTCTTCTGTTATGGGGTATACTACTACTGTTCATTACTTTATCTGAATAATAGAGGTCTGTTTGAGGATGACATGTAAGCATGGGGAACTGCTTTCAGTAGTAGTTTGGGATGCTTATGGAGATCGTTTGATGTAACGAATCTGTTCAAAGTGAGGCAGAGAAATTTAACACAGATTTTTAAGGTCATGATCTCATGTTTTCAGGTGTTGATGTTGTAAATAAAACTTTTGAAGACCATTTTTTAAAGTATTGTAATAAGTAGAAATCGTGAATATACCCGTAGAATTAATGGAAAACATCAACTCTTCTAATTTAAAAAGTTTTTAATCTTACTTGGGATAATATATCCAGTTATAGTGTCATACGGTCATTCAAAAAATGTTGCCTTTAAAACAGTTTAGAAGTTAAGATTGTGTGCTCTGGGAAACCTAGGTGACTTTAGAGGAAATCTAATGAGGACAAGAAACTGGTATTGAAGATTGGAAGTAGGCTTTTGACTATATCGTGATGGACACCTCCCATATATATAGATAGATATGCACAGGCACACCTCAGAGATACTGTGGGTTCGATTCCAGGCCACCACAATAAAGTGAATCACATAAAGTTTTTGGTTTCTCAGTGCATATAAAAGTTATGTTTACACTATACCGTCGTCTGTTAAGTATTCAGTAATAGCATTATGTCTTTTAAAAAAGTACATACCTTGATTTAAAAAATTCCAAAAAAACCCCAATTACAATAGTAACATCAGAGATCACTGATCACACATCACCATAACAAACGTAGTAATAATGAAAAAGTTCGGAATATTGCAAGAATTACGAAAATGTGACACAGAGACATGAAGTGAGCAAATGCTGTTGGAAAAATGGTGCCAATAGACTTGCTTGACTCGGGGTTGCCACAAACCTTCAATTTGTAAAAATCACAATATTTGCGAAGTTCAGTAAAGTGAAGCGCAGTAGAACAAGGCACACCTGTAGTCGTGGTCTGATTGGGAAATGTGAACTCTTCTTGCTTTGGGGACAGTCGTATATTCCTGACTGAGGTATGCTCAGGCAAATATGATGATGTCAAGGCTGGAAGTGACTGGGGAGATGGTTATTCATGGGTGTTCAACCTTTTATCTGCCCAAGCATCCAGAGCAGGTTAAGTTAACACCTGTCAAAACAGAGGCTTTCTAGGAAAATGCTTCCGAGATGGGGAAGAAAGGAGGGTGATGTGTATATTTTGAAGAAGCCCCAAATAGATGGTGATACTTCCTCTGCATGTGACGCAGTAGGGTATGTGATGGGGTAGGGCTGTTGGTACAGGTGGCATGTTTTTCCCAGTGTCACGTAGTTAACCTCTGAATTTGGACCGGAACTGTGGGCTTCTCCTCCCCAGGCCAATTTTTGCTTTTCTCTGCCACACTCTTTTCCTTCTCCTTTTATTGTTTTTGTACCTTTTCTCCTTTCTATTCTCAATAAAGGTTTAACTGTCTTGTGCTTGATAGCATGAAAACTGCTGAGATGTACTAGGAAGCAGTCTTTGACCAAGTCATTACATTTAAGAACATGTGTTCATTCAACCTAGTGCCCTTTTCAGACTTTCTCATTGTCACCACTGTTTCCTAAGTCTCCTAGGCTCAAAACCACTGAGCCATTTTTGAAACCAGCTTGTCTCTCTCTCATCTTCCATCTTTAAACAAGTTTTTAAGTCCTGTCATTTCTATCCCGTGGTGTCTCTTCATACATCTTCCTTTTTTTTTTCAACATTAATCTCCTAAAGCCTCTCACAGTCCTTTGCTCGGACTGTTGAAATAAGCCCCTAATTGATCTCTGCTTGAGGTTTCTCTCTGTTTCAATCCGTATTACACATCAATTATGATAAGCTTAAATAATAGAACATCTATTGAGCACTTACCATGTGCCAGATATTGTTTAAAACAGTGGTCCCCAACCTTTTTGGCACTAGGGACCGATTTCGTGGAAGACAGTTTTTTCACGGATGGGGGGGTGGGTGGGACATGGTTCAGGTGGTAATGCAGCGATGGGGAGAGGCAGATGAAGCTTCGCTCGCTGGCCTGCCGCTCACCCCTGGCCGTGCGGCCCTGTTCCTAACAGGCTGCGGACCGATAATGGTCCGTGGCCTGGCGGTTAGGGACCCCTGGTTTAAAACATTGTCTTTAACTTTCATAATAGTCTTGAGGTTCAAGCACTGTTATTAACCCATTCTGCAGATGGAAAGGGAGGCAGAGATTGAATTATCCAGTCACTCAGTAGCTAGGTAGTAAGTGGCAAAATTGAATCCAGACACTCCAGAGTGTGTGTTTCTATAGTTGAAAACACAGCTGGAGTGGTGTCACTCCTGGCACCCTTTCTCTGGCACCCTCTTACCTATTTTACAAAATCCAAATCTCTTATCCTGGCAGAAAGACTCTTTGGTCCAGCCTGCCTTTCTATCTGTAACCTACTCCTCTGTCTATGTTCTCCAGCCAAACTTGAAGTGACGTTTGAACCGCTGTCTGGAAGAGAAGTGGGAGTTGGTCGGGCAAAGTAGCGGAGTAAGGAGGGAGCGGAGGGTGCACCTGGGAGAGCTGGGGCTGGAGCCTGAGGGAGGGCCTGCACAGGGTGAGGCTGCAGGTGAAGGTCGGTCTGGACCGTGGCCCACTTCCCGGTCTTGTCTTTTTCCACAGGACATTTTCGTGAGCTCTTCACAAGATTCATGGAGACTGAGAACTGGCTTTTTTAGGAAGGTACTTTTGTAAAGCTTGATGTGAAGTTTATCTGTTTTTCCTAGATTCCTTTTTAAATTCCCCTCTCTTCTGGCCACAGCCATCCATTTGTATGCATCCGTGCTGCATTTATTTTCACTTGAATTCAAGCAGGTTATACTTGGGAAGGACATTCTCAAGCAGGGTGCTCTTTCTCAGCCTCGATCTCTTTTCCCTGCTAGTTCAGTTTATCTTCACTCCTTTGCAAGGGAGGACCTAGCAGTCTCGTCTTGTAGGAGGTGTTTCTCGTGTCTCTTGAGCACTTTCCCACTCTTTCTATCTTTGAGGCGTTCCTTGGTGAGGAGAGTGGACTCTGCAGAGCCTGGGTTGTGTTACCACTGACCAGCCATGAGCATGGGGCCACCACATTCAGGGCCCCTGTGCAGCTGCTGGACTTCAGTTTCTTTCTATGTAAAGTGTAACAGATGCTGTAATGATGCCACCTAATTCTTGGAGCTTTCATGGATATGAGGCATACTGGAACAAAACTTGGCATGGAAGAAGGGTTTAATGAATGTTGTTACTATTTTTTACTTTTATTACTTTTTCTTTAGTTGTGAAAAACTATTGACAGAGCATTCTGGTAAAGGGTCATACAAACCTGCTTTATTCTTACTATTACTACTGAGGGTATTCTCTTTGGTTTAGAAAAATGTGCTTGTTTGAGAGGTAAATAATGAAATCTCATTGTTATTTACCTGTCGACTTACTTTTTGACTTCCAGTGAGTTTGAAAGTTTTCCCATATGCTTATTATTGGTTTGTGAGAATTGCATCTTTTGCCTTTTTTCGGGGTGTGGGGGCAGATCTTAGTGTTTTTAATTGTATCGTTAGAGAGCTTTATATATTTAAGGATATTGTATAACACTTTGGACAGTAACATTTTCCAGACTGTTTTCATTTGGCATGGAACTCAGATGCAAATTTTAAACACTTTTGCACAGTAGAAATGGAAGAGAGAAAACTAATGATGAACTCTAAAATGATGTATTTATTTGCTACATAAATATAGTTTTAATGAAGTGTTCCTTTTAAAAATATTATTACATTTTAAAACCTCTGTGAACAGTTAACAGTTTGCTCAGTACTTAACTTTTAAAGTGTCTCTGGTCAGATAAATATCTTGCCTTTGGGGCATTTTGTAATGGAAAATCCCTGTAAATATACAGTGTTCTAATTGGAATCACAAAGCCAAATGATTGCCTCATTGGATAATTTTAAGTATTATGCTGCAATTCAATATAGGTACCCAACTAAGCACTAAACTAGATTTAAAAATATCTTGTATGTTTAACAGCTGTCTAGCTAGAACGAAAAAAGACTGAGGAGAGGAGTTATGTGTATGTTCTCCTCTTTTCCGCCTGGGATCAGAGAGGGAGAGAGTTTTAAAAGTGTTTTTTTCTTTCTCAGCTGCTGTTGCTGTGCCTGCTTTGGGAGAAGGCAGAGGCAAAGATGAGGGAACGTATGGGGCAGCTTTCTTTCCAAAGAAACTTTATGTGCCTGAAACTTAGTAGCATCTCCAGACACTTGTTAAAGTGGCATGGTTGTGGCATAGCTGAAGTGATGGCAGCCTGTGGTAGGTGACATTTCCGCCTGTGTTGTATTCCTAGCGGCCTCTCTCTGTGTTCTGATTCATCTTCCTGGAGGGGAAGGCAGCTAAGCAGGCAGTGTTCAGCTTTTTAATAGCTTCATAATATTTTAGCTTTTAGTTGTGTTGTAATATGTGGTTTCTCTTCCTTTTGTACTTCCAGGTTTCTGGAAGGCAACTGTAGTGTTTATGGGCCCTAGCAAAGTCGTGGTCAAGAGATCTGAAGAAAAATCCTGGAATGGGGTTGGGGAGGGAGCATCTTTGGGTAATTCAGGTTTATATGTATGAACATATTCATACATTATGTGTGTGTATGTATATACGTGTATATACTTTATGTGTGTATATATATATATAAAACATTTAAAGTTTTTTTAGATAAATAGTATTTTACTATGTATTTGTATAGATTTTTTTAAAAAGGAAATAAATTAGAATCTAACCACCATTTATTAAAATGTGTCATTTAAGCTCTAAACAGAGACTTTTGAGCACAACCTTTCCTTTCCTCTGGCAATGATCTGTGTAACATTTCAAATCCATGGCATTTTACAAATGAAGGAATACTTTGCGTTTACGTGACTGGACAAGATGATGAACCATCTCATTTCATGTATGAGGAAACTGACTTATTTGTTACCATGCTGCATTTATGCGGGTGTTACAGCAAGCGAGAGGAAGTCTTAAATCCTAGTTCAGTGTATTTCTATGTAGCAAGCTTGAACTTTCCTGGTGTATTTCTCATTTTACCTGTTTTGTAAATGAATATGCTAAATTTGCCTGTTACAGAGGAATCTGAGATACGGAAAGCAGAGCTTCACAAAGGTGGTTGTGAGCAGCTTGAGATCTACAATTATCCCATCTGGATGGTTCCAGTGCTTTTCCTTAACTGTCCCACAGATGACTCTGACCTGAGAGGAGGTGAATGAAAACCCCATCTTCTGACTGAAAATAGGAAGTGGCGTTCGTTGAATGCACATGTCACGTTACTGCTGGTTAGGCTGACTTTAACTGTTTCATGCGTTGTCAACTACCGCTAACCCTGTCTCAGGTGATTGTATTTGCTAAACCATAAATAAGGGTATGTGTCATCTGACAAATTCTAGTATGAGGGACAGCTGTCTGATAGCCTTGAGCTACACGATCACTGTCGTCCCTTCTCGTTGAAAGGCACGCTAGACTCTCAGATCTGGCTTACCGTCTAATTGAATGATGATAGTTCCTTAGCTTGCTTGAAAGAATTGTTTCTTGATTTTAACCAGTATAGTTTGTCAGTTTGAATGACTTACATCATTTTTGTAATACTTTCAGTATCTTTATTTATTTATGAAAGTTAAACTTACTGAAGGCCAGATGACTGCAGTGAACATGTGAATCCTTCAGTTAAACAAGTATTTAGCATTTATACAAGCATTCTAGTCAGGACCCCAGTTATTTGCTCATTTTCTTTGGTATTAACCCGGATGCCTGATAGAGCAACCAGCACTGTCCTGTGTAGATCTTCTAGATTCTTGAAAATACTTTTATTCTCACAGTGGTAGTAGATTTTTTTCTTTTTTTCGAATCTTGGTCTCCTTTAGCCTGATTAGTTACCTGTTGAATAAATCATGTTATTCTCATACTGTGGCTAGAAAGAAATTTATGTAAATTAGGTCCTATATTTATAGGTGACACTGTTTTTGTACTGAGACAGCCAGAAAAGGCTGCTGCAGCAGCTGTTGTCTCCTTGCTGTTACCTTGTGCTGAGAGCTGGATTTTGCTCGTTCAGAAGGCATCTTTTTTCTGTCCCTCTGCAGGGCTGTCCGGTGAAACAGCATCTAAAATTAAACTATCAGAAACAAGTTTGCTTTTTGTTTCCCAAAAGGACTGGAGTAGGGTGGGGTGGATGGGTTAGAGGCTATATAACTTTGAAACAGTTATGAGCCAGCAAGGATCATGCAGCTGCCATCATGAAGATAAACCTTTTTTTTTATCGTATTTCCCTCAAACTTAATTTGCCTCAAAAGCATGTTTGTGAACATTTTGTTCAAGTGGCCATTATTTTGGTTTCTGTGTTAAGTATGTTGCTTTCTTTAGCATGTAATTTTTCCAGTAAAATTTTAGTTTTAAGTTTTAGAAAAGTTTTGTTGAAGTCATTTACAATCAGTTACCAGTTAATCACACCTAAAATTCAGCAGCTTGTATGCTTAATTTATTGTAACGTAATAATCTTTTGTGTTGGCGTTTCTAAATCTTCTCCTAATGGCAGATTCATATTTATAAATTTGTAAATGTCTGTGCTCTTTCTGTACTGCACAGTGAGTTGGTTAGGCAGCAGTTACTTACAGCATGTCTACTGCATGTTGAGCACTGTTCTAAGTCCTAGGGATTCAGTAGTGAACAAAGGTGGAGGAGGGCAGGGGGAGTGTCCGTTTCAGTAACATTATTGCACTGGGAGGTGGACTGGGAGGTGGACTCCATATCAGTCACTAAGTAGCTACCAGGCCAAGGAAGAAAATCACTGATCTTCATTTTCTTCAAGTGGTTGGAATTGATCTCTTGAAAGGTTTAATCTCGCTTCTAAAATTTCTCTACGGAAATTGTGTATGTTTACTTGTCTTTTGTTTCAGCCCCACCCCCCATTACTAAAAATTAAGGGCTCAAAGGCTGCTTGGCACCTTGTTTCCTACTAAAGGGGGAAATTTTTTATTTAGATGGGCTTATTACTGATTAAACATTTTAATTTAATGGACAGTATAAGAAAAAAGGGATTTCTTTTTTTCCACTTGGAATTTTTTCATAGCTGCTGATAACCCATAAAATAACCAGGTAGTATTATCTGTTTCATTTATTTTTTTCTATTTAAACATATTTTATAATTTTAGAATATTGGGAGAAATATAAATTACCCATATTATGTATTATATATACTATGTACAGTATAATAATTATAGAGTCTGGCAGCTGTATCTTGAGTGATTATTTTAATCCTTTTTGTGTTCCAGATGCTATTATTTATTTATTTATTTATTTATTTTTTTGCGGTACGCGGGCCTCTCACTGTTGTGGCCTCTCCCGTTGCGGAGCACGGGCTCCGGACGCGCAGGCTCAGCGGCCATGGCTCACGGGCCCAGCCGCTCCACGGCATGTGGGATCTTCCCGGACCGGGGCACGAACCCGTGTCCCCTGCATCGGCAGGCGGACTCTCAACCACTGCGCCACCAGGGAAGCCCCCAGATGCTATTATTAAAAATAAGTGCTTGACATTTTACTTCAGCTATAAGAATTTGGTTTGCCGTTAGTAACTGAAAGGGTAAAGGACCGTTTGCTGTCTTACTTAGGGCTAAGTAAGATTTTCTGTGATCTAGTTGAGGATAATCCGTCCATCTGTCCATCCATCCATCCATCCAGTCTTTCTTAGTGGTTGCTTGAGGGCTTACCACATGCATCCTTAAGTTATAGTGTCTTGTACTCTAGGCACGTGGGCTTCAGTAGTTGTGGCACGCGAGCTCTGTAGTTGTGGCTCGCGGGCTCTAGAGCACAGGCTCAGCAGTTGTGGCGTACCGGCTTAGTTGCTCCGCGGCATGTGGGATCTTCCCGGACCAGGGCTCGAACCCGTGTCGCCTGCATTGGCAGGTGGATTCTTAACCACTGCGCCACCAGGGAAGGCCTGTTTCTTTGTTTTTAAATTGACTGATTTTTTTCCCCCCTTCCACAGTGTCTAGTCTCCTATTAGGTCCATTTAGTGAATTTTTCACTTCAATTATTTTTCATTTCTAGAATTTCTTTTTGGTTCCTATTTATATTTTCCATTTATCTGTTAAGATTTGCTGTTTGTTCTTTTATTTTGTCTGTAATTTCCTTTATATTTTAAAAGATTTGTAATCTATTTTTTGTCTGCTAATTTCACTATTTCTGTCATTTCTGGGTCTATTAATGAGGTATTTTCTTCCTGAATACAGATCTCCTTTTCCTGCTTCTTTGTGTGCCTAGTGATTTTTGACTGGATATGGGCGTTAAGAATGCTAGGCTGTTGAGCATCTGGGTTTTGTTGCCCTCCTTTTAAGAAGTGTTGAATTTTGTCCTGGTGGGCTGTTAGCTTACTTGTTGGTCATCTTGATCCTTTGAGGTTTGTTTCAGTCTCTGTTACAAGTGGAAGGCTGCCTTTTATAGGGCCAGTATAGCTTTCCTCCTAAAGTGTGGATTTTCTGGGGTCTCTGTTGAATGTCTGTGGTGTTTGTCACGATTTCTCCACCCTAAGTGATTAGAACACTTACTGTCTCTCAGTCCGGGGCAAGTTCTAGTAGTTGTTCAGCTTTCAGCTCCCTGCCTGTTGCTCTTTGTGTGGCCTCATGGACCTTCACCTGACGATTGTGCAGCTTAGTATTTGGCCACACAGTCAAGGGCATCCCCAGGTATAGATGAATGGAGCTCCTTCTCTGCATAACTCCCTTATTTCTACTGCCTGCCCCACAGATTCCAGCTAACTCAGTAGCCTTGAACTCTCATCTCTGTCTCCTCAGTTCAGTAAGACCACTGTGTTCTGTTTGGGCCCCCCTCCCTGCACTGTACTCTGGAAATTGTCTCCAGATAGAAAGCCAAGGTGGTTGTGGGGCTCACCAAGTTTGTTTCCCTTTTCTCGGTGATCACTAGGCACACAAAGAAGTTGTTCTGTGCGGCCTGTTGTCCAGTGTCTGAAAACAGTCATTTCATCTGTTTTGACTAGTTTCGTAGTTGTTTGTTGTGAGTGAGGTAGTTCGGTACCAGGTGCTCTAAAATGGTCAGAAGTGGAAGTCTGATATTATAGGCTTTAAAGAGAAATATTTTTATCCCTATACCATTGTTACTTTTAACAATTTAATGCACAGATTTACTTAACATCTCATATTGATAAACCGAGCATTTGTTTAGGTGTTATATGAGCAACTTCATCCTGTTTGTAGACAATTGAATATGCTGTTTTGGCTATTAGGTTAAAGTGTGTGTGTGTGTGTGTGTGTGTACAGGTACACATGCATTCTGTGGTGATACATATTGGCCACTAACTAGAGGGTAATAAGAAATCAGTTCATTTGTTTTTAAAATTAGATAATTTATAGAATCATAACATAGTTTCACCTTAATGTATATTTATTTAACACCTGTGGAGGCAGGCACTGTCATGTGTTTGGGATATAAAAGTGAGTAAGAGAAATTGACTGTCAGCAATAGATGTAGCCTGTGCTGTGATTAGACTGTTCTTTACTTCTGGTTCATGAGCCCCCATTTTATTTATTTATTTATTTATATTTATATTTATTTTTATTTTTGGCTGTGTTGAGTCTTTGTTGCTGCGTGCAGGCTTTCTCTAGTTGCAGTGAGCGGGGGCTACTCTTCATTGTGGTGCGCGGGCTTCTCACTGTGGTGGCTTCTCTTGTTACAGAGCACGGGCTCTAGGTGCACGGGCTTCAGTAGTTGCGGCACGCGGGCTCTAGAGCACAGGCTCAGTAGTTGTGGCTCACGGGCTTAGCCGCTCTGCGGCATGTGGGATCTTCCTGGACCAGGGCTCAAACCCATGTCCCCTGCATTGGCAGGCGGATTCTTAACCACTTTGCCATTTTAAAAATACTTCTTTCATCCTTACCCCCTTCAGCTTTCTCCCTCCCTTTTTGAACCATTTCTTCATGTTCTAAATATTCCTGATGGATTCAGTTCATTCTTTCACCGAACAGATATTTACTGAATGCAGGCCACGTCCCAGGCACTGTTCTTAGTACTAATGATATCTTACTCGTGGACTTCCATTCAGTTACCCTCTTAATTTGTATTTTTCTTGCCAGCCATCATTAAAAGTGCAACTGGCTACTCCTTTAACGTTTTTCTTCTCTTTTGCTATGGGTATATCTTGTTGCTAGGGACCTTGGAGGTTTCTTCCCACTTAAGCTTGGTTGCCTTTCTGTCAT